AAATTTGTTTTTTAAATAAATAATATATTCACATGGTTCCAAAACCAAAGGCATTGAAAAAATATTCATTTACAAATGTATGTTCTGGTTCACTTTGACCCCCAATAGAGTAATTTTATTTACCACTTTTGTGTTTCCTTTCACTGTTTCTAAGTGCAAACACAAGCAATTGCAAATATGTGTCCTTATTCCTCTCTCTTTTAGGCAAAGGTTAGCATACAGTATCTCTTGTTCTGTGCCTTACTGTTATTCACTTAAAATATGGCCTGGAGATCTTTTCAGGACTTAATATATCCTGGAGATCTCATAGAAATCATCCCCATTTGTTTACTATAGCTGCGTACTGCTCCTGATATGTATGTGATAGGTTTTTTTTAGTCAATTCCCTATTGTATCAGTCAGAATAATGTTTGACCAAAACATCTGGGCACCCTGTGGCTCTGTCAAGTTGACACACAAAATTAACCAGTACATCTATTAATGGGCACGTGGGTGGTTTCCAATTTTTTGCTGTTACAAATAATACTGCAATGAATAACCTTGTATCTGTCTCATTTTATAAGTGTGCAGGTGTTCCTATCTGTAGGATAAATTCCTAGAAGTGGAATTACTAGGTCAAAGCAGGTAACTTTGATAGGGATTGCCGTATTGTCATCCACAAGGTTTATCCTCATTCGCAACTTCACCAGCATATGTAAGCGACTGTTTCCCTACAGCCCTTCAACAATTACATTATCAAACACTGGGAATTTTTTGCCCATTTGAAATGGTATCATCATGTAGCTTTCATCTGAATGGCTCTTTATACAAGTGAGGTTGCACATCTTTTTGTATGTTTAAAGAACCATTTGTATTTCTTTCTTTGTGAATTTTTTTGTTCACCTCCTTTGTTCAATTTCTACTGGGCTGTTGGACTTTTCTCAATTTCTAAGACTCATTAAACATTAAAGGGCTTGGCCCTTTGTGATTTAGGTCGCAAACATTTTCTTAGTTTGTCATTTGTATTTGTGCTTCTGTTGCTTTTTTTTTTTTATCAATTTCTATTAACCTTTTCTGGTTTCTGGATTTTGAACCATGATTAGAAAGGCATTTGAGGGGTACTTTAGATGGGGTGCTCAGGGCCAATAGGAACACCCCAACCCCTTGTTTGTGTTTTGGAGAGACATTTGTGGAAGAGATGTGAACTACTTGAGGCAGTACCTGTGGGAAACCAGAATGTATGCAGTTGAACCCAAATGAAAAAGGAAACTAAAAACAGATTTTGACCCAATGTAAACATTGTAAGTGAGGGGGAAAAAAATCAGAGAATCACACATAATGAAAGTTATTAGATTGATTCTCTGGAGAAATATGATCTCTGGCGGGAAAGTTATGATTTATCATAATTCCTCCTCCTGAACAACGAATGCATATGTTTGATATGTTTTGATAGATACAACTTGACTAATTTAAAATTGATTTAGAAAACTTGCTGTTTCATCTTCATAAATTGAAAAGCAGGTTTGCTTATACTGGTAGCCTTTTATGGTACTTGAATAGTGGTCTGACTACTTTCAGGAATGAATAATGGATTAAAAGTACACTTTGCAGCTTACATTAGTTACTTTTGTAATGCAAAATAGAAGCATGATAATGTACTATTCAGCATGCTTTAATGTGATTTATACATACACTACACAGCATAAGTAATTCATTATGCCCTTCACAGTGCATTTCCTGGGTATAGAAGCTCATGTTTACCACTATTTCATCTCATAATCAGACTGTCTAATGGAGAGTCTGGGACCATGAGTAAGGATTCTGCACTCCACTTGCCCCCTGACTCATTCAATGACCTTAGGCAATACTCTACTGGGTCTGGGTTTGGGTGCTTGTTAAAATGAGTGGATAACACCTTATGGATCCAGCTCAAAGAAGGGACTGTGGACTAATTACTTTAGGACTGCAAACAGCTTTGAAGCCTGGAATTAAACAGGCTTACAGTATAATTATTATTATTCTGGGAATTATCCTACTTTGGAAATAACACTCTTCAGCGGTCATGTAATAAGGCAACAGTTCATGTCTGTGCATTTAGGAAGAAATCCTCTACTGCTTCATTAATAGCACCTTATCACATACTGTTCTTTTTATTTGCAAACTGTGGGTTTAGTGAATAGCATAGGTGATGGCCCTTCAAATTAGCTGCCTTTAAAGGTAATTGCATTCTATTTTTAGAATGCAATTCTAAAATCAGATTTGATTAAAGCTTGTGAGTTGGAAGTAGGGGAGCAGTTTGAAGAAGTAGACCTGCCCCTAACATTTGTGGAGTTTGGGGCGAGTACAAATGGAGGCCCATATACCATACATTTAAATATTTAAATGGTATAGCTCAAGCTTACAGATTGTTACATAAAATATGTCCTATTCTCTTACCTTCACAAATATATCTTTATAATGACCTGGAAGGCCAGGTTTGAATTTTACATGTTTCTGAAGGACGTCCCAGAAAACTTATAAATTACATTTCTCTTTTTTCCCCTCATTGCCTGGTATCAGTATGATGATGACCAGTAACAGTCTCCAGACCAGAATTTGAACACACACATCTTGGAGGTATGTTTCAAACTCTGTACCTTTTTATGATATGCAAATCATGTTTCCTTTTTGATAATGCTGGTGACTGTCTCTATGAAAATGGGAATCCATTAGAATAACTGAAACCTCTAAAACAGTGAGATCTTTGCTTGTGATAAATACTTTGACACAATTTGATTTCATTGACAATCTAGATTATGACCTAATCTATTTAAATTCAACTGGAAACATAATTTTCACATCAAACTTCCATTGTAAATTGTAGGATGAATAAAATATGCAGGTCTTGTGCACAAACTTTTTTTTTTTTTTGCCTGACACATAACCATTATTTTAGATTCAAAGGAATCTTATTGGTCAAATAGATCTAATAATGGGGATGATGTAGCAGATAAATCTATATCCTTAGAGAATGCACCTTAAGCAGTTTCACTTTATAGCTGATATTTTTATTTTTGCTTGGGTACACAATTCTTGTTTGTCAAGACTCCACTTTCTTTGTTAAAATGTAAAATGCATATTGGGCAAATGCTCCAGGGCAATTTGCATAAAAAGTGATGACAAAGAGCAATTAGTACTTCATTATTATGCAGTGAAATGCTACTTTGCTCAAAAGTGACTGTAGTTTCTCCCCTCAACCCCTTATAAATCTGGTACAGCATTGTTCTAAATATAGTACTTAAGAAATCTCTATTTGTAAGTCAGCATCTTTGACTTTCCACTAGAAATCCAGCCGGGGTTGGGGCGGGGGAGGGGCGGATGCAAGCACTAAATAAAGTTATTACCCCAGATCCTTATAATGACAAACAAGCACCAGAATTCTGTTAGATAAGACAAGTCAGACGATTTTAATGTCTCACCAAATTAGATCCGTATCTTATTTTCCCCTTGGGATCAACTTTCAAAGCAGACTCAGATCATACACNNNCCTCCCGCCCCGCCCCCCAACACACATACTGTCTCGCACACACGCAGAAACACGGTCATGCCACACACAGCTACACTGCAGAGAACAAACAGTCCCAAGGTATGTCTAGTTAGGAAGGCTTGATTTTTGAGTACAGATTTCATTACCATGCAATTCCTTTAGGGCACAAAAGAATTGCATCAAAGAAGCAGTGTGGGGAGGCAGACATTGTATACATTCGCCCATCACCTGTGTTACCAGGCAATGCCTGTCTGATTTGCCAGGAAATGCTCATTTTTTTTTTTTTGTTTTTTGTTTCTCTTGTTAAGCCAACGTATTACCTAAAAATCCGCGAGCCAAAATGTGCCAGCACTTGTGTGTGTGGGATAACCAAGTAATTGGATACTGGAGGATGAGACGGAAACATGGGAAACTACCAGAGCTTTGGAAAATGAGGCTGGAGATGGACATGGATTCCAGTATTTTTCTTTGGAAGTTCCAAAGCAGGCTTGGGGGAGCAGGGAGAGGAAAAGGTGGAGGTGGGAGCTTGGTGAACACTGCCTTATTTTTGATTCTCCTCCTGCCTGACCCTCTGTGGGCCAGACCAGATGAATGCAAACCCTACACTCACATCCTGTCTGACATGACTCTAAAATAGCCGACCTAACCCACTTGGCTTGCATCCTAAGGGGTCTCTCAATCCTAAGAGCCTGGGAGGTGGGGTTCATGGGATTGCATCATCTGCTATCTAGACTAAGGGGCTCAGGGCTGTGTGGCGTGTCTCCAAGAAAGAAGTGGTGGGGGTACACCCCAAGGCACATTGCTTTATAAGTACCTGGTGCAGCTGAATGGCCTTTACCCAACCCAGATTTTATTTATTTTCTCCTTCATTCCTGTTCTCAGGCCACCAGTGAAAAGATTATAAGGTCACATACCTCATACCATTTCAGGAATGCATTGTCTAACCTGGAGGTAATGTCTGATCGTTTCAATACACCACCACAGATTTATTATTCATGTAATATTCTATTAATTTTTAATGCATCCAGGTTCCTACTTATTTAACATATAATGCAAATGGCCAGATGTCTTCATAAAGCTATGAAAAGTGGCTCTGAAGTACCCTTCCATAACATCCCAATCTATTAACCAGTGGATGAGACAGTACTGCCCTTAACCGTGGGTGGGACTCCTGTCTTGGGTTCCCACACCTCAGAGGTCCCCACAATTTGGATGGTATTCCTTGAAGGAAGTCTCCAGCCTGCAGTGCTATTTGGGTGGGGTGTCCAAGCCAGATCCCCTTTCTTCCCTTCAGGGCACTATCCCACTTGTACCCTGTATCCTGCCTGTAAGATACTAACCAGATACCCAGAGGAGCTCCAGCACTATGGGGTCACCCTAGAGCCAAGATCACCCTAAGGCCAAGAAGGAGGCAGCCTGGTCAGCACACATTCCCACTGACGCTGACCAGCAAGTTCTTTCTTTTATAAGATTGCATGTCATTGAACCTCTAAAATGGTGCTGACATGCTGATTCAAGGCAACTCTCATTTATGAGGGATGAAGAAGACAATTTTCACATTGGGCAATAAATAAATACCCATTCTTCTAAACCTGCATCAGTAAATCACTATATATTACATGGGCCCATTTTCTAATAAAATCGTCTGTATAGACATGGCCCCTCAAAATACATTTGCCTACGACTTGCACTCCCCAGGGTACCCTGCCCTGGGGAACCACTGTAGGACTTGAATAGACGCTGCCTGAGACCAAGTAGTTAGCGGAGAGGCCAAGGAGAAGAGCAGGGAGAGAGTGATGGCATTCAGAGGCCAGAAGAAGCTAGTGCAGAGAAGTGGAAGTACTCTAGATTGAGGATAATGGGGCCTGAGTTCTGGTCCTGACTCTGCCACTTCTCAGCTCTGCGCCCTTGATCCAGCCTCCGACTCGCTCTCTGCCTCGGTTTCCTCATCTATGAAATGAGAGTGTTCAGTAGTATTGTCTTAGATGATTCCCAAATCTGACTTTGTATCAGAAGACACAGAGAAACTGCTAGGAAAGAAAATACTACTTCTAGACACACCACACACCTTCTCCAAATGCCCATATTCAGTTAAGTCTGCAAGTGGGATTTGAGATCTGTATTTTTGACAAGCTCCCAGGACATTCTGACATACAGCGAGGACTGGTCCTTATTTGTCTTAGAAGTTGGCTGTCTCTAAAGGTTTGAGACTTTAATGTAGGCCTCTCAGGTGATGAAGGTCTTGTTGTGATTCTGGTGGAGTCTATGGAGGAAAGAAATGTAAAACTATTTTAATATAATGCCGGTGCGGGTGACAATGGCTCATGCATGTCACTATGTGCTAGGTATCATTCGGAGCATTTTACACACATGGCCTTGTTCAGTACTCATATCAGCCCTTTCTCATTTGCATGCTCCAGAAGAGAAAATGGAATGAGAGAAAGATGGAATGACTGGCCAAGGTTAAATGCTAATATTATTGGCAAGTTGGGTAGAGGAACTGGAGAAGTGAGAACTGCAGGTATCTCCATGTTTTTAAGGCTAGAGGACAGGGCACACAGTTGGGGTGGTTCTGTGATTTGTATTCTTGCTTTATTTTATTTTCTCACTGGTTATGGTGGTGAGGGCTTTGGGGATAATGAGTGTCCAATTAGCTGTGAGAGTGAGTGGCCCAAGTAGGCATTACCTGGAGAGACTTGGCAATACGTTCCCTGGAGCTCAGACGAGAGGTTGGGCCGCAGGTTATGGATTTGGGAGTCATCGCAGAGATGAGAGATGCAGTTATATGAGTGGGAGAGCCTACTAACCTCCAGGAGAGAGTGGGCAGAATTTCTTTAGAGAACCAGCTTGGGAGGGAGGGCTTGGTGGGCAAGACTCCAGCATCAACTCAGCAACTAAAATCTGCAGCCGCTTTTGAAGAGCTGTTCTGTTATATGGTTTGGTCAGCAGCTCAGCTCCATATTTTCATCCACCAGAATGTTCAGATCAATACCCCCTGTTCTCATGATTTACGGAACCTGAATTTCTCTAACTGCTCCATTAACTCTTTGGAAAGGTTTCTCCCTCTGTTAGCACTGGATCATGATTTTCCATAAAATTTGCCCTTGAGCAAGCAATTCTCTCATCATTCTCACCAGGGAAATTGTCTCACTTCCCCCCCCCCCTTACCCTCTCCATCCTTCCGCACTTTCTGAAGAGCTCTGTTTCATGAACCTACATTTTGCCTGCTAATTAGTGTTTTTGAATAAACACTTGCATTGAGCTAGGAATCTATGGGGGTTTTGCTGGGGCCAGTTTGTGAGTTCCTAATCCTTTATGTCAGTTACTAGTTTCCCAACTTTGTTATTAACTGTAGTGTGTTAAGGTCCTTCTGTTTGTGCAGCCCTGAAGGGCTTGGTGCCCTGACCCCGGTCTCCGCGAGCCCAGCCCCGTGTTCACCTTCGTGGTGCTGTTTTCCCTCATGCTGGGCACAGAGGGTTCTGGTGGCCAGAAGCCCATTTTGAAAGATGAATTCACTCACAATGTGCCCCTTTGTTCCAAGGAAGATTTTGTTTCTCTGATCCTCAGCTTCAGCATCATGAAAAAGCATTTGTCAAGCCCCTAATTGCCACAGTGCTGCACTAAGCACTCTGTAAAAAGAGTTTCACGGCCACAGTAGGGCCAAGTGTGAAAGAGCCAGGCCTGAGTGCAGGAGGAAATTGCTACGGCCCTAGCCTTTGTCCACAGAGTCCAGCAAATTGACCAATAAAAGGATGTGTTTCCAAGTACCCCAGTGACACTGAGACCCCTGGGGCGGGCGGGGGAAGTGGGACGGGAACATGGGGGAAGTGGGACGGGAACATGGAGCAGCAGGACATGCGGCAGTGGTGATGGTGTAGGCAGGCACCCCCAGAAGAGAGGCAGGAGAAGTGAGCTGTTTTATTCTCAGGGAGCCTGAAAGATGTGCTCCCGAGACGAACCAACAGCAAGTGGCACCCTCTTCAGCAGTTTGCCAGGGAGAGAATGAGTCAAAGTCCCTGGAAGTCATAGCAGTTAATTAAGTAAGTGTCAGAATAGAGTTCTTGCCTGTTAGGAGCCCATAATACAGCTT